CTAATGGATGGATTGATGGTGATCTTGGGGGAGGGAAGGGGAAAAGGGCAAGGAAACAAATTCTTTTTTTTTTTTTTTTTTTTGCAGTACGCGGGCCTCCCACTGCTGTGGCCTCTCCCGTTGCGGAGCACAGGCTCCGGGCGCGCAGGCCCAGCGGCCATGGCTCATGGGCCCAGCCGCTCCGCGGCATGTGGGATCTTCCCGGACCGGGGCACGAACCCGCGTCCCCTGCATCGGCAGGCGGACTCTCAACCACTGCGCCACCAGGGAAGCCCGAGACAAATTCTTGAAGCGTAGTAGTAGCTTGAAACTGTGATATTTGACAATTCTTTGTATATTTTGCGGAAAAAAGTTTAAATTTTTCATTAAAATATTCTTCAGCACACAAAAGTAATCCAAACACATTTCTAATACTTCTTAGTAATATCTTAGTAAACATCGAGGCAATTAAAAATAATACCTTTAGACCTGTGTATACTGCAACTGAATTTTTATAATGTTGCTGAAGAGGAACGTCTTGTAAACTAAAATTATCTCCAAATAGGATATTTACATTGCAAGACGAAAAAAGCAAGCAGATAATTGCAAATGGATATGTGTGTCCTTTTCCAAAAAGCTGAGCGTATATTCAATGACCCAATGCAAAAAGCTATAATTGTCATTTGTAAGTGATTAAATTTGCCATCAGGGAACAGATTGGTACAGCGCCATAGAGGTTCACCCCATCCTTACCTGAAATTATATTACAAAGGATGCAAATCTGATATTTAGACATGCAGTTCTTAACTGCATCCGAGCTCCCCATTTCACTTTGTTTTTTTTTTTGTTTTTTTTTTCGTTTTTTTAGGAGCTCTCTCTATGTTCCCTGGATCACGCAGTTCAGAGCTGAGCAGACCAGAGTTAAGTCTGGAGGAGGGGGAGAGCCCAGTTGGAGATCTGGAAGAGTCTGGCTACCGAATTCTGACAACTCCGCATGCAGATGTAGAGGTGAGTACAGGCCAAGGCTCTAGCATGGGTCACTTCTTGATTTTTCTCAAGATGTTAATTTTTAATTTTTAAAAATTAATTTTAATTTCTCTGGATGTTAACTGCAGTTTCTGAGAGAAGATGCATGTTATTGCATCATCCAGTGAAAGCAATTAAAAGGAAACTGGGCACCATATGTGAGTTCCCTGCCCTCACGTCACTGTCCCCTATAACCCATAACCAATGACCATGGACCACACTAGGTTTAAAACTCATAAATGCCATCGAATTAAAGTATTGGCCTCCTCCAGTTTTAGAGCAAGCTCTCAATTTGCTTTTCCAAGAGGGGAATGTCAGAGAAAGATTGTGTTTGCTTCCTTCACAGTTTATCCTTATCGAATGCAGCTGAAAAGCCTTTAAAGAGACAAGCCGCTGGCCCCCAAAAATGAGTCTAAGAGTGTCTTGGCTAAACGTTTTGGAAAAAATATATCAATATGATTATTAAGAAGTAGATAGGTATGTCCAATCTGTATCAACACACATACCTAAAAAAGGTACTTGAAACAAAATGAAGTCATAGATGCTACTGAAATCAAAGCTTCCACTCCATTTTCAACGGGGCACATGTTTTCTAAATCAGTCCTCTCTCAAACCTGTCCGTGGCTCACTTGCTCTAGGATCAGGAGGTGTTGTTTCGAAGCTGAGATTCCAGGGCTGCCTTACCTCAGATATGCTTACTTAGAATCTCTGCACGTGGAGTCTTGGAATGTACCTTTAACAAACCTCTCAGGGGCCTCTTATTCTCTGCTTAAGAAAAAAAAAAAGAAAGACGTATAAAAAAGGAGAAGAAACTGATAACCTAAATCAACTGCAAGGAAGAGCATAGCTAACTTTCTGGAGACTGGGAATGGGGGCCTGGTTTTGTGTTTCTTCTGTAACCTGACTGAGATGGACCACACATCCTGGTCCAACTGTGTTCATATACATAGAGATAAGAGCCAATTAAGGCCCTTTTCTACTCTCTTTAATAGATGGGTGTTTTGTCTGTTAAAGTCCCACTGAAGTCAATGTGAGGTTCATTTCGTCTCCAAATTCAGACCGTGAGGTCCAACTTGGCTTTGAGGAAAAGCATACTAAGCACTTTCTTACTAAGGCACCTGGACGAGTCCCACCCATCCATTTACCTGTCATTCCTTCCATACGTACTTCTGGTTCCCCTCTCATGTGGTTGGTCTTCAGGAACGTAGGGTATGGCTTACCCAGTCATGTCAAAAGTTAGGGAGTCTCTGTGCCAATTCAAAGGGTGAGCTGTGTAATAGATTGCGCATATGTGAGCAGAATAAAACAGTAGATTTTGACTGTTATTCTGACTTTACCAAAATGCTTTCCTTTTCAAAGTTACTTTAAACTGCAATTAAAATAAATAACATGAAAAAAGCCAGCATAATCACAGAAGATGTCTGTGATAATTCTAAAAGAAGAAAGCAATATAACCGCAAGTATTATTTTAACATATGCATAATAAAGCAGCCCTGTATGTTTAATCCTAAGCTTTTTGTGCAACTCACTAGATGTTCTTTTGTGGTTTATCATAAAATGCATTTATTCATGGAAATGAATATGTTATGTAACCCATATAAGCAGAACACACGTTGCTTTTTAAAAAAATACAGTGATCCCTTTGAACATTTAGAAGCTGTTTTGAAAGCTCAGCATGCTTGTCCTTGTGATTTCACTTTCTAGAATATAAATATCATGATATAACATGCAGAGTTATAAATGAAAGATACCATAAGAAAATATAGGCATGCATAATAATATCCTTACCTTCATCAAGACCAGGTATTTGCTTAACTTTAAAACTCAAACCCTGTGGGAAGGATGCACTGCAGCTTTTGGAAGTGTTTCTAGTAACTCCTGAATGAAAGTGATAACATTCAGAAGACAATCCCTGTATTTAGATGTCTCTCCTCCGTTGGCTGACCTAAGGCTCAGTGCACCTTCCTGCTTGGGGTCACCACGGTTAGCTTCTTTGCTCTTAGTCAATACTGAGTATGTTTAACATTCTTTTAAAAAGATTTCCATCCACAGTTCTGAGCATCTTTTAAACAAACTTATGAGTTCATGTGAGCCCATGTCTACATTTTTTATGTTTCCGGCTCACGTGTAGCATTGTCACGCTAAAAGCTACAGATGCCGCCGGCTATGTAATGCGTGGGACCTAGGGCGAAATGAAAATTCGGGGGACGGTGTTGAAAATTAACATCAGGGTTGTGACAGAAGAACATTAAACAAGGTATGGATCCTGCTAAGGTCACACACCCATCAGGCCAGCTCTGCCTACAGAATCTTTTGAACAAAACAACTCTGGTTTTTACAACTCATTGGGAAACACGCTAAGCAATTAATTTTATGGGCCTTGCTGATGTAAACTATATCAAGAAATATACATGTAAGATGATGTAAAAGAAACATGGGTAAAATAGGATAACTGCAGATGGTTGTTGTTACCATTGAACAGGAAGATCTGAAAATCTCAGAGTGGAAAATCTGCAGAATTTTAGGGGGACAGGATTGGAGGTTGGAAAAAGCCACGGGCTCTGTGGGAGGAAGACCCCAGCTTTGCGCGGTATCTTTGAGTGGGTTGCGTGCATCTAGACGCTCCAGCTACGCTCAGTGGTGTATTTAGGGAAGCCACTGCGTTTTGGAATGTGCGAGTGCAATTCTGTACGAGAAGGCGGCAGTGCCAGTGTGCGTGTCTTTTGGACTCTGCTGCGTTACACAAATATCCCCAAGTTTGGAGCACAGCCTTCCTCACATCCCAGGCCTCTGTAGGCTCTCCTACCCGCAGGGGGCTGGAGCACAGTCACTTGCCAGTGGAGCTCAGGGCAGTACAGAGCTTTGTTAGGGGTGGTGTAGCATAGATGCTGCTGCGTCTCTTCCTCTGGGGGGGCCCTAGCTGGGGATGGAGAACGCGTGTGGCGAAAGAGCATTGGAAGAGAGTACAGGAGGGGACGGGGCAGCAATTCTGCTGCTGAAAAGGCCAAATCAAAAGACTTGGGCCCAAGACAAGGATTAGAGTGTAGGAACGGTTTGTCTTGAATAAGTCACTCAGGCTGGGCGGGTAGTGCTTGTCTATGGAACAACAGACACCTGAGAAAACAACTAGGGGCGTGGGTCTATGAGCTGCCCGCTCAGATCGGTTTCCACGGGACAACAGGAAGGAGGGAAGGAAAGGGCTGGAGGAAGGTCTGAATGGAGGGAGGAAGAAGAGAGGGAAGTAGGAAGGAAGGGAGGAAGGGAATGAACGAGAGAAAGAAGGAACGAGGGAGGGAGGGAGGATGAGGAACGTGTCAGTCAAACGTCCCTGCCTGGCCTCCGTCTCGCCTTATTACCCCCACCACAGTCCTGTCACTTAGCTCTTTCCAACTCCTCGGGAAAAGGGAAATTCAGATAGGCGAAAGCGTGAGCGGAGCTGAGCCCGGGGTAGGAACCGGGGAGAAAGCCCACAGCTTAGGGGCGCTCCGTCCTTCCTTAGCCTGTTCCCATGCCCTTGTGGGTGCCGAGGCCCTGCTGCCCGAGACTGCGCCTCACATCCAGGCCCGGGCATGCTCGCACCTGACGTTCACTGGATGGCGTGGGGGAGGTGGGGCAGGAAGGAGCGCAAGCGGACCGTGGGGGAACCTGCGTGGGGGCGGACCACCTGGAGAGGGGCGCACGGCGGCGCTCGGCCGGCACGGCATCCCCCCTGCGCTAGAGCTGCCGGCTCGCTGCCCCTCAGACCTGCCCACGGCCCTCCGCCCGCCCCCCGTCACTCACTTCCCTTCCAGCCAATGGCGCGGCCGCCTGTCACCCTCACCCCACCCCTGGAGGCAGAGCGGGGAGGGCCTTGGCAGGGAGGGCGCGGGGCCGGAGTTGAATGATTGAACTTTCCAGCGGAGTTGCGGCGGCCGCGAGGTTCCCGGCAGTGCGGCCCCGGCGCGGAGCTGGGAGCCTCGGCCAGCGCCCGGCGCCCGCGCCCCCGACCCGCAGCCATGGTGCCCGGGGCGCCCCTGACCCTCTGCCTCTGGCTGGCGGCCTCCGGGGGATGCCTGGCGGCCGGCTCCGGCGCGACGGCCGCCCGGCGGCTGGACGAGTCGCTGTCGGCCGGGAGCGTCCAGCGCGCCCGCTGCGCCTCCAGGTGCCTCAGCCTGCAGATCACGCGCATCTCCGCCTTCTTCCAGCACTTCCAGGTATGAACCGCCGCCCGCCCGGGTCCTCCCCGGCGCTGCGGGCCGCGGCGGGTGCGCACGGGGCGCGCGCCTCTCAGCCTCGCCGCCCAAACTTCTCGCCCAGCTCAGCCGGCAGATCCGGCTTTCCCTCCGCGTGGATCTTACAATCTGGGCGCGCGAACCCTCTTTTCCAGCCTCCTCCCTGCTCCCGAAAGGAAAAAGAAGCCGGCGGCATCTTTACCTAGCTCCCTTCTTCCGAGGGGGAAACGAAAGGCGGTTTCTCTGGGAAGGGAGAGGAGTTTTGTGGCTTCCAAGGGTGGGAGTGTGGGTTTGATAGTTGCCCGGGACTTCCGCGCGGGACTGCGGGCTGGTGGCGAGTCCCGCAAACTCCGGGGCGCTCCGGGCCCTCGGCGCGGCGGGCGCGGCGGGCACAGCGAGCGAGGCCGGGAGGCGCGCACAGCTCCGCCCGGGGACCCGCGCGACGAGCCCCGGCCCCGCAGGTGCCCGCGGGAGGACACTTTTGTCTCTTTCGAGCTTTGCTTTCGCCCTCGGCGGGCCGAGAGCTCGCGGCCCACCCTTCGAGCCCCGGGCGGGGCACTTGGGCCAAGTCGTGCGTTCCAGCGCGTTTGTGTTGGGGCCCGGGGAGGCGGTGGTGATGGTAGCTGTGCGCGCCCCAGTTCGGAGCCCCAGAGCTTCCAGGTCTCGCCAACGAAGGGCGTGGAGAGTAAGGGAAGGGATGCAGGGGATACGGGACTTGGAGGCGCCGTGTTTGGATGCTCTGAGCGGGCTCCCGGGGGCCAGTATCTCCCCCAGCCCTCGTAGGTTCTGTCGGCTTGAGGGTAGGAGAGCTTGTGGGAGTGTGGGTGTTGAGTGTGTAGAAGGTTCAGAGAACGGCACGCTTGGTGCTGTGGATGGCCGGGATCCTGGGGCGGGGGGGGTGGGGAGGGAGGGCGCCACAGAGGGGAGGACCCCGCGGGACTTGCTCAGGGACACTGGCTGAGCGTGGGCGCACGGGAACCGCTCCCGGCCCCGACCGAGGCGCGTCCCACAGCTGCCTTCCCCAGCTGACCCGAGTGCGCGCACCCTGAAACCATTCACGCAGATAACCGAATTCCTCTCGTCTGCCCTGGTTCTCGCCCTCGCCTTTTCGTCTCTATCCTTAGTTGCTCACCTGCTTCAGAGTCCCGGCTTCTCGCCGCAGGGAAAACTGCGGAGGCCAGAAGGAGACCGGGGCTCCTGGGTGGGGTTCTAAGCCGAGTCCTCTGCCCTTGAGAAATAAACTGGGCGTCTCTTCCACTCGGGCGGGTTACATGGGCCTTCCCAGAGGCCCTGGGGACTAAGCTGCGACAGGAGGCCATCGTAATGACCGTGGAGTTGGGGACGAATCTCCGAAGTCTGAACATCGGTTCATTCTGGCGTGAGAACTCGTGAAACCTCGCGCCGAGCGGCACAAGGAGAACTAAAAGTTGGGATCTTCAGAGAGTGAACCAGCTGGCGAAGTTTGCATGCGCCTGAGTGCGTGCTTCTCTGTGTTCTCAAAGAAGCGACATCCGGTGGGTGTCAGAGAACTCGGCGCGCTCTGCTGTCCTCGTGGGTCTTCAGGGAAAGGGAAAAGGGAGTGTGGTCTCGTGCGCTGAAATTACGCGGACATCCTGGAGAGGGCCCCTTCCCAGCCCCCTGGTTTCCAAACCGCCGGCCCTGCGCTCGCAGTCACTCTCCCGAGGAGACGCCACACTCTTGTGTAAACCACAACAGAAAACAAAACGAACCGGCAGCCTGTTCC